TTTTGATCTGCAATGGCCAAATCAAGAGGAATGGGAAGAAAAAACACTTGCAGTTAAATTGTTTTTACAAACAAATTTGAGCCTATTGATTTTCCTATATTTTGCCAGCTTTTGGCATTTAAACTGTAACTATTAAAGGAAAACAAATATACCAGTTATACCTATTAGTTTTCAGAGGGCTAATCTTTCACTCCTAACGAACATACCTTAGCAATAGTAGCTGATTAATAGAACCCTTCCACTCGTTCAATGGTTCAGCAATACCATTTATTGTTTCAGAAAATGGCATAATACTTTCAAGATCTTGATAAATAAAGAAATAACACATTTCATTGAGTCAACTCAAATTGTAACGTGTAAATCTCAGTTAATTCAATGAAACATTGTTTTTTATTTATTAAAAACTTGACAATATTATGCCATTTTCTTATTTATAGTTTAAGTCTTAATACATCTCAGTACATATAGTTAATGTTTCATTTCACTGAATAAAATGAGATTTTCTGAAGCAATAAATAATTTTTAGGCTTAGTTATAAGTAGTTTTTTTTTAAAGTCACAGAGTTAAAAAAAGGTTTGAAAAATAAGCTATTTTAAATAATCATTAGACTTGTGCTAAGCTTCTATTATATTGATTTAGTTCAGAATCATGTATGAATTAATAGTCAAGGAAAGCATGCAGCAGCACATATTTTAAAATTGTTTTTGTAATGTTGTGAATATTCAACAAGGCTGTTTTTAATAACAATGAACCACTTCTTGAATGTTTCAGCATAAATTTCTATCATTAAGACTATAAAATTAACATAAAGTCATTATAATGTTTTTTCATCATGGTCAGATTATTGCACATAGCTGACTAATGATTTTAATGTTGTAGTTCATAATTATTTTGATATTGTTGCATCAGCGAGGTCACTAGTATCATGCCACGTCTTTCTAGAAATGTCCTGTTCCTTCATGATTGCCCTAGCATTTACTAGATATGTCTTAATCTTGTATATATAAGATGTTCATAACGTGACAGGACAACAGTGTAATGAGTAATTGAATGTATGCGGACAGAATACTGTTGGCCACGTGAGACGTTCGTTGAGAATTATAGCGTTTGTTATAGAGCGACTGTTGAAATTAAGTGTATCGTAAAGTTATATTTAGAAAGAATAAACCAGTTTTATTTAAGAAAGGACTTGTGTCGCTAAAGTTTGATCGGAACGAATTTACGGAAAATTAACTAACGAACGGAGACGTAACAATATATTAGATTGAGAAGAAAATCACTGTACAGCTGCATATATGTTAAAATTGTTTTTGTAATGTTGTGAATATTCAACAAGGCTGTTTTTAATAACAATGAACCACTTCTTGAATGTATCAGCATAAATTCCTTTCATTATGACTATAAAATTAACATAAAATCATTATATTATTTTTTCATCGTGGTCAGATTATTACTTATAGCTGACTAATGATTTGAATGTTGTAATTTATAATTCTTATTTTGATATCTTATGCTTAAAAGACTGGGAAGAAAATCATCTCAGTTGAAGTAGGAGATAAGTTAGTTAAATAGATTGAAAATTGGCTAATTGGGAAAAAACATAAGGTTATTGATAGAGTTCAGTCAAACTTCACTAATGCTATGAATAGTATACTTCAAGGACCTGAGTTGAGACCATTGATATTCTTCATTTACATTGATGACATTGATAGAAGCATAGTTGGAAGTCTAGCTGGCTGTAACAGAAATGCTATGATTTTACAGAAAGACTTGTATTAGTTGAACAACACATGGCAGTAGGCATTTAATTAGAATAAGGTCAGGGCTCTAACTTTTTAAGCCAACAGCCCATTTGGACTAGTGTGCGTAATAGTTCATTAGCACACAGCTAGTTCTTTGCTAATAAAACTGTATGCACACAAAACACAAAGTTTCATTCTTGTTATTTTGTGTCATAACAAATTTCCAATTCTAAATAAAACAGAATAGTCAACTTTTATAAGTTTCAAGTCTTTGATACAAGCTAGTAGATGTTATAGCTGTATATCACCATGCAATGAAAAAGCCCTTTACAAGTTTGAAGTGTAGTTTTAGCTTTAGAAAATATAGTGTATGATAATCACAGTGAAAAATAAAAACAAAGCTGTCATTTTTTTTGGCAACTAGAAAGTAAAATTTGAGATTGAAATTCTAACTGTACAGTTTTTTCTTAGACAGTTGAAGCCTTAGCCTCTTCATATATTTTGGAACACAAGCTATAATATTTGCATACTTTTTTTTCAGGAAGTTTCAGCTGCAAATATACCAATAAAACCATTAAAATGTTCAAAATGTATATAATTTAAATACATAATAAATCAGTATATTAAACAAATAGATTAAATACTATAAGCATAATATATATATATATATATATATATCCAAAGATGCTTTGGGTTGATACTATACCATGATTGTAGTCTTTTAAACAATAAACTGAGCATTGTACCAACATTGATCTGCAAAAAATGAAAAGTTTATTATAAGCTGTTAAGTAACTTCCTTTCTTGCTTTTGGAAATAAACAATTTGAACATACTGAGTTTGAGAAATAAGTATCACTGTTTTGTCATGAAAAAGTAATAAAATAAATGTGTGAGCATAGCAAAAAAGTCAAAAATAAAACAAGATACTCATTGTTAAGCCACTAATCCCATTGGACTAGTGTGTAATGTCAGCAACTAGTCTAAACAAATTTCTTGCTTGTCCCAGGCTATTAGGCTAGCATTAGTGTCAAGCCCTCAGGTTTTGAATGTGGCTTATTGTAATAGAAATATTACATAATTAACAGGATTCTTTCTTAAATATTATGCATATAAGATAAAAGAAGCATGAGGTATTGGTTGATATAACTATTAAATCTTCAAGATAAGTGTGCTGTGCAAGAGGAAAAGCAAATGATATTGTGATTTTAATGTGTAAGTCACTCTTAGTTTGTTTCTTTTTGAAAAAAAAATGGGCAGGGGTGAGCTAATTGAAGTATTTGAAATTATTAAAGGAACTGATAAGATAGATGCATAATATTGTTAATATTTTTTCATCTTGAATTTGTAGTGCAGGTTCAGAAGGACGAGGTCTTAAATTTAAGGCATAGAAAGGTCAGAAACATATGCAATTGAGACAGTTTTATTTCTTAAATAGAGTGATAAATGTGTACATCAAATTGTTAACTAAAGTATTGGAGGCTTCAACTTTACAAGAGTTTAAGAAAAAGATTAATTAATATTTTGGGAATCAGAGCTGAATATAATTTTTGTTTTCAGTTGGTTGAGGGAGATTGGGATTTGGGACATCCTTGATGGGCTAAGAGGCTTTTTTTATGTTCCACAATTTATAAAAATGTATTTAATTAGTTAGAATTATCAAGTCCACTTAGAAATGACAAAAAAAAAGAGTAAACAATAAAAATTAAGTATGATTAAGCTTTATTTACTAATGATCTTTCAGGGCAAAAACAGATTTTTGATTAATCTTAAAGTGTAAGTCTTGCATTGGTCAATAGATGATTGATACTTTCTTAAAGTTTTGAATCAAAAATGAAGCTTATGAATATAATACGTGAAAAGCATTCATATCTGAGAGAACATGTATCATTGAGGGTTATCAATGTGAGTGAGTGTTTTCTTTGCAGTTAAATTGCATTAGGAAAATCATATTCTGTGTTTCCATGACTTTACTTTAACAAGATATCTAAACTGGGCCCAGAAATTGAAAAAGGTGTTTTTTAGAATTATACCATCAAAGCTATAGGGCTAATAAAAACAAGAGAACAGAAAATTAAACTCTGTCTCTGACAGTAATCTGTTAATAGTTGAGCCAAAGGTGTATAACATGCATTTTTTTTTCCATTTGTCCAACATTAAATAAAATTAAGGTACTTTTACCAATAGTACTAGAAGTTTTATAGACTATATACTTTTCTGTTGATAAGATTCTGATTAATTACTTCTTAAAGATTTGTTTTGCATATCTTATGTTGTGTGAAAAACTATAAGTCTTTATTAATCTAACTATCCGCTGTTGTATCAGTGGTAGGCTAAAGGGCTTATATTTCTAAAATTTGGGGCTTAATCCCCACAGTGGACACAGTTTAGATACCCCATTGTGTAGATTTGTACTAAAAAGAAGCAAACATTCTAATTAGTAATTAAGGCTTGGATTATTCCTGGCTATTTTAGAACTTTGATGTATTTCTGAATTATGTCTAACAAGCAAAAGTTGAAGTTAATCTGTCAATTTAAATTATTTCATGGATTCTGAAAAGGTTAATTGTGTTGCATTTTTGGTTTCACTCAGAGCCAAAGCTCTGAGCTACTTATACTGCTCACTTTATAAAGTAATTGTTGAGCATTTCAGTCCTGCTAAGAGCCGCTCAACAATAACGTATGGTAAATCTACATTTCTATTCTTTAAGTTATACCACATTTTGAAATGTGAATGATAGCGTGATTAATTTCTGACAATTTAATGTAGAATATCCTGTAAAAAATTTGGCATCAACATTATTCATGCTTGTTCTCCCATCATTTCAAAAGTGAATGTTGAGCTTTACCTGCATGTGCAGCTTTTCAAATGCAGCACGGGAAGCAGTCGCCTTAAATGGGAAACAGACAAATGCTCAGAAAGACACCATGGCTTGTGAATTATTTACACCATGAAAACATTAATTTTGAATTAGTAAATAATGTTTAGAATCAACCATACATATCTAAAGTATTGGATAGGCATTGCTATTATAAACTTTCAGACTTCATTGGGATATTACTCAACTGTGCAAGAAATGATCATGCCGTGTTCATATGTACAGATCAATCCTGAGTTAATAAATTTAGAACTTCAAGCTATTTTTGTGTGCTCTCCATTAGAATATACTATTATAGTACATGTAAATAAAGCACATGTATTTTCTGAACTAGTGCCTTATGATGTAATTCCCCAGTAACCTTTTTTCTGTTTTTGTAGATCTCATGCAAAGATCTTCTGTCCAGCACATCCAGATGCACCACTTATTGAAGATTACAGAGCTGGGGACATGATATGTCCAGAATGTGGACTAGTCATAGGAGACAGGTAATGTACAGAGAATATAATGGAAAGTTTATAGAGTAGGTAAATGTTCATGAACCGGAGTGATTTGCTATAGATTTTGATTATTACATATTATGATCCTGTAGAGACTTGGAATGGATAACATTACACTTATAGAAGTAACTAGCAAACTTAATAGATCCTGGATGGACAAGTATTTTTATTGAAATATAATCTTATATAGCATTGTTTGCCAAATGATGATATGATGTTTCATAATTGATTCTTAAAATCGTGTAACTGTTTAAAATTACTTGCTATATGCTTGCATTTGAGATTATGACATCACACTCAGCATTTAAGTCATATTTTTGGACCAGTTCAAAGTTTTTCAGCTATACTCAAGGCTCAATTAAGTTAACCCTTTCACTACAGGTAGGTCAGAGTGTACATGTCACATTCAAAATTTAATTAAACTACTTTATTATCAATATATATATAAATAAACATAGCATTCAAACATAGTCAATAAATCAAATTTGAATATTACATAAGTTTTAAGTTCTTAACTTTATACAGAAATATTTTACAAATTCTCAATCTCTACTGGTATGAGAATCAAGATATTTCTTCTCTATATATTCTCTCTTTTTCTAATTTATTTACCACTCTCTTTGAAGTATGGAACTTAACATAGATTTCTCATTATAATACAGATATTACTAAGGCAAAGTCTTCAATCTTGTTTGTTTAGAGCCATAAACTAGAAAATCAGACCCACTTGCCACACCCATTCTTTCACAAGTTGCCAATAATTATTTCTGGTGTTTTATAATCAGTGCTTGATGTGGGTGAGGGATGTCATCTAACTTCTTTTCAGGAGAGCCTGAACCAACTCTGCTACTTTTTAGTAGACTAAGCTTCTCAGAAGGGAAAGGTTCAATATGCAGTGCAATAAATATTTATGGCATCAAGGGACTGAGGAAAGAAAATTGTGTATTTTTTCTTAAAATGTTGTGTAAGAGCAAGGCAGGAAAGAGACAAAGTAGTACACAGATGAAGGGAATGAACCCTCTTGCTGTGGGATCGATCTGTACGAGCAAGTTAGTAACCACAAAGTAACCATCAGAGTTTCCATACTATAACTCTTAAGATTATGCATCTGTTTGTGGTTAATTTTATTGTTTCATAACCCTTTGAACCAGGTCTAACTAATCATCTACCACACAATTTGTAAATCACTTGGTGAACATGCAACTCGCATTGCTGTATCGAACTATGCGAGGCATAAGCTTCCCGTGAATATACCAAGTGAAGAATTATTATTATTATATTTCATTATCTTACCTAATCTATCCTTATTAACCTAATAAGCTTCTAATTTTTACATTTTAGTTACTTTTATAATAATAAATAAAGGATAAGCATGAAAAACAAGAAATATGGTACTTAGCTTCAAAAGTTTCACAAACCATTGGTTTCCTCTTTTTCCCCCATTTCAAGCACTATTTATACTATATCATTTATAACAAATAGAAAGGCAAAGTTTTAATCTGTTGAATTACACATAATTTTATATTGTTTTCAGTAGAGAGTATTGCCAATTTTTTCTTCAGTTTGAGTAGGAAAGGAATTAATTGAAACCCTTCTTGTCCAAATTAGAAAGACAGTTAAATTATAATTGTTATATGAAATTGTTTGCCTTGTGCATGTTATTATTCTGTTTATGTGGGTGCATTATTTAAGTAAATAAAAATTATTTAGTGTACTAGTACCATTATTATAAAAAAGAAAAAGTAGGCTTAAATTTCTTTGGCAACAGACAAACAAAATAACGAGGTTGAAGGTAAGTACCACCATATTTCTTGTTTTTCATGTATACTCTTTATTTATGGTTATAAAAGTAACTGAAATATAGAAGATTAGAAACTTATTAGGTTAGATTAGGTAAGATAATGAAAAAAAGAAAACATTCTTCACAAGGTATTCTTGTGAGCAGCTTATGTGTTACATCATTCAATACGGTAACATGAGCTACTCATTCGCCAAGCGATTTGCAACTTGTGTGGCAGGATTATTAGTTAGACACGGTTCAAAAGGCAATAAAATTAAGTATAAACAAGTGTAAACTGTTGCTAGTTTTAAGCTATATAAGATAAACAATTGTAGTTTTTTGTGATTACTTGCAGTCATTTTAGAAAAAAAAAGGTAATTTAGATTTTTTTTTATGACGGTTACAAGGTTAGTCAAATTGATCAAGTTCATGTAGATTTAGGGTAGGAAAAAATAACAGATAAAATATAGAATTTTACTGAAAAAAGTTTGATATTTAGGAAGATTTAGAGGTTACACAAATTAAATTTGATAATTTTCAGTTGAAGAAAAGTATTTTTAATCATAACATGAAATGCACTTTGCACTAAAGCAGTCAACACTGACTCCATATATTTCCAGACAAATCTTTAGTCAAAATACTTGATTTAAAAATTTTATTTTTAATTAAAAAAAGACATGTAATGTTTACTGAAAGCTTGATAAATTTTGTCAAGATACACAAAATATATTAAAAGTTATAGTATGGAAATTCTGATGTTTACTTTGTGGTTACAAGGTTGGTCACATCACTTGATCCTGCATGGAAAGAGCTTAAAGAACAAATTATGACTTCAAATATTTTTTCCCAAGCTATTAACATTAGTTGACTTCTATCCTTTGTTTATTGCTGGGGGTCCTCTGTTTATCTTTCTTTGTTTTACTAACTTTCCACTTTAAAAAAATTGGATCATTGTTAGATATATAAGACTATTTAGTTATTATTTAGTTTATTTAGAGATTTAACATTTAAAGATTATTTAGTTTTCACAACAAGAGTGTTAAAAGTTAATTATTTAAAAAGCAATAGTATAGAAGAATAATTCATCTTGTCAGTTGGTGTCTAAAGTAATTGAACCAATTCTGTGTGGACTTTGACAAAAAAAAGAGAATAATTTAAAGCTATATATTCATGTATGGTAAATAATAGTGTAATGAATTTTTGTACACATTTGACTCTTTTGAATATATATTATTTCAAAACAAGTGGATTGTGTGCTGCCCATTTATTATTGAAATTTATTGCCAACAAGTCACAGACACCTACTGTAAAGAATCTTGGACCCTATACAAAACCTGACATTGCTGAGCCAGCCAGGATTTTAAAGTGGTTATTGGTGGTAGAAGAAGACATGAGTGACAGTGGAAGTAGGCTTATAGACACACAACTGTAGTGGTGGCAAAAATAGTGTAGAGATTACAATCATGCCATATAACCATGTCAGCTGATTTTGATAAATTGATAGATAGGGGTGAGTGACTTAGGCTAAAAGATAGTGATCTACTAGAGTTTGTTAAACAACAACAAAAACAAGAATTAGAGAGAGAAGAGTGTAGGCAGAGAAGAGAGGAAGAGAGACTAAAAAAAGAAAAGGAAATAGAGAGGGACAGAATAAGAGCACAAATGGAGATTGCAAAGCTAACCCAGCAGAAAGATGAAGGACCCAAGAGTTATGATGGGGTCAGGGCCAGCCAACCTAAGTTGCCCAAATTTAATGAACAGAAAGATGACATGTATGCTTTTCTAGAGAGATGTAAAAAATTTGCCCAAGTCAGAACTGGGACAAAGGTGACTGGGCAGTCTGTCTCAGCCCACTTCTCAAAGGAAAAGGCCTCCAAGTGTATGCAGGCATGACATCAGAAAATGCCATGTACTATGACAAGTTAAAAGTGACCTTGTTTAAACGTTATGAACTTACCAAGGAAGGTCTTCACCAGAAGTTTGGAGAGGTGAAACCTGACACTGGAGAAACTGTATTTCAGTTTGTGGCATGTCTACAGCAATACTTCATGAGTTGGACTGACATGGCCAAGTATGAAAATAGTTTTGAGGGGCTGGCAGATTTACTAATATGTGAACAGTTTATAATCATGTGTTCAACTGACATGTCACTGTTCCTAAAGGAGTGAGCACCAAAAGATGTGGATGAGATGATAAAACTGGCAGAACAGTATGTGGAAACCCATGGAGGGAGTATAACTAGCAAGTCCAAGAATAACCAGTTGAAGTTAAAACCATGAGTGGCTGACCATAAACAGGATACCACCGTGGGTGACAAGAACTCAACAGATAAAAGGGAGAAGAGATGCTATATTTGTTAGAAAATGGGGCACATTGCTAAGGAGTGGAAGTCCATCACCAACAAGCGACAGCAAAAATTTCAACATAAAGTAGCTGGAGCTATTTACATAGATACTGCTTGTAAGAAACAAGAAAAACATGACTATCACCATGGATGCTGCTGCCAGAAGAAACAGAATAGAAACAATCCATCTGATTCATTACAAGAAAGAAGTGCTGTTTCTGTGGTTAAACACTGCATGACTGATGGTCAGCTCAAGTAGTGATTTAAGCATGTGACAAGAAGTTTGGAAGAACTAAACAGAAATAAGACTGACGAAGCATCTGCAGTCCACAAGAGCTCAAGAAAAGAAGAGCAAGCAAGACATCAAGCTCCTTCTAGTCTTGAAAAGTGACATCCTGAATGTAGGTCTACGAGAACTGAGGGAAGCACTGAAGAAAGACCTGTCACACAGAAACCTTGGGACAGTGCCTGGGTGAAAGTCAAGCACAACATAAAGTGGAAAGAGACTTACAAAATAAAGGACCGGAAAGGAATACTGTACCATATCCATCAAAGCGGTTCTACAGGGGAAGCTAAACACATCAAAGGCAGTGAGAAGTACTTCTCTGACAAGAAGGTCAAGGATCAATGTTTCAAGGTCAGACAGAAGGTTTTGGTTCTGTTACTTACAGACAACAACAACAAACTCACCCTGCAGTAAAAAGGACCTTTAGAAGTGCAGGAAGTGTTCAACAGAATGGACTATAAGGTGAAAGTGGATAGGAAGACCAAGATTTACCATGCAAATTTGTTGAAAAGGTACTTCAAGAGGGAAGAAGACCTAATGGGTGCTGCTATTGAGGCACAGGTGGACATGGCAGATGT